GGTCATGATCTCGAGGTTTGTGGGTTCAAGCCCTGCATCAGGCTCTGTACTGACAGCTCAGAGCCTGGAGCCTGCTTCAGATTCTGTGTCTGCCCCTCCCCTGCCTGTGCTCTGTCTCTCTCTCTCTCTCTCTCTCTCAAAAATAAATAAACATTAAAAAAAAAAAAAGAAAGAAAAGAAAAAGAAATGACCCAACCCTACAGCCTTTCTCTATATCTAAGAATTCATGCCGGGGAGAAACTTAGTGGTTCTTGCGGACTTGGGGAAAACCTTCATAGTTTGATCTTCAGTTTGCAGTGGAAAGCTCTCTTTAGAATATTAAACAACAAAGGAGGAAGAAAAAGAAATGCATGCATGACTTCTTCCCGCCCTCGCTGCCATGCCTTTGCTGAGTTATCATTGGTTATTTTTTGGAGAGGGTATGCTAGGCAAGTAATGGCCCCCCAGAGATGTGTGTGTCTTCATCCCTGGAACCTGTGACCGGGTTATGTTACACGGCAAAGGAGGACCCAGGCTACAGATGGAATCGAGGCTGACCATAAAATAGGGAGGTTGTCCTGGATGATCCAGGTGGGCCCAGTATAATCACAAGGGACCTTGAAAAGGGAAGTGGGAGCCAGAGGAGTCGATGTCAGAGTGATGTCACGTGGGAAAGACTCAGCTGGCCGCTGCTGGCCCTGCAAATGGAGGAAGGAGAACATGAGCCAAGGAGGCAGCTTCTAGAACCAGAAAGGGCAAGAAAACAAGCTGTCCCTTACAGCCTTCAGAAAGGAACCCAGCCCTGTGACACCCCTGTTGGACTTCTGACCCCCAGAACTATATGATAATGAATCTGTATTGTTTTAAAGTTGTGCTAATTTGTCAGAGCAGCAATAAGAAACTACTAGCGATGGTAGGGGGTCGGGGTGGTCGGGAGGCGAAAGGGCCTTTTCGTCTTTGTCTCTTACAAATGGTCACTGCCATCCAGGGTACTTGAAGGCAGCTCTACAGTTACTGAAAGACTTCTCTCTTCCAAAATGTTGTCTCTACCCTTGAGGAGCATAAGTCTTTGTAAAAAATATGAAGTCCTAACTCTTCAAATATTTACAACTTACAAGAAATCAGAATACTAAGTATAGTGTTTTATGAAGTTATTATAGTTATGGAGATAAGGATCCATATACACATGAGCACATCGTACCACACCCCGGAAACCTGTTGAGGGCTTTCATTAAAAAAAAAAATCGGGGCGCCTGGGTGGCTTGGTTGGTTAAGCGTCCGACTTCGGCTCAGGTCGTGATCTCACGGTCCGTGAGTTTGAGCCCCGCGTCGGGCTCCGTGCTGACAGCTCAGAGCCTGGAGCCTGTTTCGGATTCTGTGTCTCCCTCTCTCTCTGCCCCTCCCCTGTTCATGCTCTGTCTCTGTCTCAAAAATAAATAAACATTAAAATAAAAAAAATTAAAAAAAATCAACAGCAACTTTCTTTATGTGGTTTGGAATGCCCGTCACTCACTGTCATTTGCTCCTGGTCCCCTTGTTTGATTATTCTTCATCTTCTTTTTTTTTTTTTTTTTTAATTTTTTTTTTCAACGTTTATTTATTTTTGCGACAGAGAGAGACAGAGCATGAACGGGGGAGGGGCAGAGAGAGAGGGAGACACAAAATCGGAAACAGGCTCCAGGCTCCAGGCTCTGAGCCATCAGCCCAGAGCCTGACGCGGGGCTCGAACTCACGGACCGCGAGATCGTGACCTGGCTGAAGTCGGACGCTTAACCGACTGCGCCACCCAGGCGCCCCTATTCTTCATCTTCTATGTGGAGTGGGGATGAATGGGTAGCTGTGTGTTTCTCAGCTCCCTCAATCCTCTGTAGAGGGGCTTCCTTCCGACGCCCACCCGGGCAGTTATTTAGAGGTGGAATGAGAACTAAAACAAAATACTACACACAGCCAAATTCAACTCCTGATCAACTCAGAGAAAAAACACAGAAAAAAAAATCCATTATTTGAGCTGCTAAAAGACTGTGAAGTGTCACTGTAAAGTGATTAGAATCTTTTCTCATTTTTACAAGTTTTTAATGCCAGTATATTAACACAGTGCTATATTAGTTTCACGTGTACAATATAGTGATTCAACACTTCCCTACATCACCCGGTGCATCAGAACAAGTGCCCTCCTTTATCCCCATCACCTGTTTCACCCATCCCCTCACCCACCTCCTCTTTGGTAACCACCAGTGTGTTCTCTACAGTTGGGTCTGTCTCTTGGTTTGCCCCTCTCTCTTTTTTTCCTTCGCTCACTTGTTTTGTTTCTTAAATTCCATATATGAGTGAAATCATTTGGCATTTGTCTTTCTCTGACTTATTTCATCATTATGCTCTCTCATCATTATGCCCTCTACTCCATCCTCGTCATTGCAAATGGCACGATTTCATTCTTTTTTATGGCTAATACTTCACTGTGTGTGTGTGTGTGTGCGCGCGCGCGTGTGTGTGTGTGTGTGTACCACATCTTCTTTATCCATTCATCAGCGGGTGGCCACTTGGGCTGCTTCCATATCTTGGCTACTGTAAATAATGCTGCTATGAACATAGAGGAGCATGTATCCCTTTGAATTTGTCTTCTTGTATCCTTTGGGTAAATACCCAGTAATGTGATCACTGGATCATAGGGTAGTTCTATTTTTGAGGACTCTACAGACTGCTTTCCACAGTGGCTGCATCAATTAGCATTCCCACCAACAGTGCACTAGTGTTCCTTTTTCTCCACATTCTTGCCAACAGCTGTTGTTTCTTGTGTTGTTGACTTGAGCCATTCTGACATGTGTGAGGTGATAGCTCATCGTAGTGAGCTGTAGCGATTTGCAATTCCCTGGTGATGAGTGATGATGAGCATCTTTCCATGTGTCTGTTGGCCATGTGGATGTCTTCTTAAGTGAAATGACTGTTCGTGTCTTCTGCCCATTTTTAATTGGACTGTCTGCTTTTGGGTGTTGAGTTTTATGAGTTCTTTATATATTTTGGATACTAACCCTTTATCGGGTATGTCATTTGCAAATATCATCTCTCATTCCATAAGTTGCCTTTTAGCTTTAATGATTGTCTCCTTTGCTGTACGGAGCTTTTTATTTTGATGTAGTTCGAATAGTTTATCTTTGCTTTTGTTTCCCTTGCCTCAGGAGACATAGCTAGAAAGATGTTGTTATGACCGATGTCAAAGAAGTTACTGCCTGTGTTCTCTTCTAGGATTTTTATGGCTTCAGATCTCACATTTAGGCGTTTAATCCATTTTGGATTTATTTTTGCACATGGTGTAAGAAAGTGGTCCAGTTCCATTCTTTGCATCTTGTTGTCCAGCTTTCCCAACACCATTTGTTGAAGAGCCTTTTCCCATTGCATAGTCTTTCCTGCTTTGTCAAAGATTAATTGACCATATAATTGTGGGGTTCTTTCTGGATTTTCTACTCTGTTCCATTAGGTCTATGTGTCTCTTTTTGTGCCAATACCATGTTTTGATGACCAGCTTTGCAATATAACTTAAAGTCCAGAATTGCGATGCCTCCAGCTTTGCTTTTCTCTTTCAAGATAGCTTTGGCTATGTGGGGTCTTTTGTGGTTCCATACAGATTTTAGGGTTGTTTGTTCCACTTCTGTGAAAAATGCTGTCGGTATTTTGATAGAAATTGCATTGAGCGTGTAGATTGCTTTGGATGGTATAGACATTTTAACAATATCCGTTCTTCCCATCCATAAGCATGGAATGGAATGTCTTTCCATTTCTTTGTGTCCAAGTGACGAGAATGTTACCAGATGAACCAGAATGAGTACAGGCAGGTATGTGTGGGGGTCACAGTTACCACCGTGGGCTAATTCCGATGCTGCCCTCACTGGTCAACGTTGTTTTGGAATTCCTTTTTGTGATCAACTTGAGGCTAATTTTCAGACCATATGAGATGTTACCTCAGTGTTACCTTAGGTTAACAAATTTAGGGCATAGAAAGGTATAAAAATAGCCACGTCTTCACGTTGGGCCGTCTTCAGGACCGGTTCAAGGATGACCTCCCAGTCTGACTGCATTTACCAGAGTGGACCCGTGCCACCACTGTGTACTGTACCCACCTATCCTTTTGTCTGTACACGTATAATTTTGTGAGAACTAGGTGCAGAGTTTTCTCTCTGTGGGAGAGCAGTGCCTCTTTAGGATGCGGCCCCTGCCCGTCTTCCCGAGGAACGCCTCTGGGCTGTGGCTGTGGCTGTGGCCGGGCTTGTCGCGGACCACCTGGGTGTGGCAGAGTTGGATGCTCTCTCTCTCCTGAAACACTTGGTCCTCAGAAGGGGGTCCTTTCCAAGGAGGGGCCTGTCCAGAGCTCCCTGGGGCCTTGCAGCTCTCAGCTCAATCGAGGCTGGGGAGGAAGAACCTTCCTGGCTGTGAGAGGCCTGTGGTCAGCACTCACCGCGATATCCTATTCTAGAGAACAAGAGAGAACAAAACAAAACACCCGAAACATCATGCAGGAGTCTGGACAACCTACCCCTCAGAAGTGAGCGCACAGGGAGATGGGTCTGGCATCGGGGGCTGTGCTGTGAGCTGCCTGTGAGAACCCTGCCCTTCAAGAACGCCTCACACGGTGACGCCTGCCGACATGCTCTCTGAGAGCAGGGACACGCTGAGAACGTCTATGGGGGAGCCGCTGGACTTGAGCTATCCGGATGCAACCGGAGGGAAGCTACAGGGTCATGCGCAGAGGTGTGAATGGAATCGGGGAGCAGGGAGGTACTGATATAAGGAAACTTTTTCTTCCCGAGGCCTCGTCAGTAGGTCTTTCATTTCCTCCGGCAGGTGCTCTACTGAGCCCAGACTCTGATCCTAAGGCCTCAGAGCAGCTGGCCTGGCTCAGAACTGGAACATCCCTGGGTCTGGGCTTACTGCACGAGGGTGCTGGCCCCTGGACTCAAATGGCTATCTGAGCCCTGTGTGCCCCGTTCCTCTATGTTTATGCAGGGAGCTGTCCCGGCTCTGCTCCCTCATCTGTTGGGTCCTTGCTTATTGAAGACTATTTAATAAAAGCGTTTGCATTTTGGGACGTCGGGGTGGCTCAGTTAAGCATCCGACTCTTGACTCCAGCTCAGGTCATGATCTCACGGTTCATGGGATCCAGCCCGCGTTGGGCTCTGTGCCGACAGTATGGAGCCTGCTTGGGATTCTCTTGGGGGGGGGGGGGGGGGGGGACTCACACTCTCGCTGACCCTCTCAAAATAAACATTTTTCAAAAGTGTTTGTATTTTGTATGGATGCCTATGGGTGTTAGCTTCATAGGAAACTCTTCCCTGTGAAGATTAGAGATGGCCGTTCACCCTGGTTTCCAGGCTGGTTCCCTTTACTGCTGTCCTTAACACCTCAGCTAATATTCAGCAGGGAGAGTGTATTGTTCATTCATTCTTGGCCTTACTGTGCCAACTGGGAACTGTGTTCAGATCACCCACTTTACAAACCCTTCCTAGTCTCTGTTTCCAGTTCCTCAGGGCAACATTCATCCCTGGAACAACCCAGCTGTATTTTATTTAATGTTTTCTTTCTTCTTCCTACCAGGTGTTTCCTAAGGCTCCAGGGGCTGCTGGCCAAGATCATATTTGGCTTGTCACTCTGCACCCAACTGTGATAAAAGTCTTAGGTTGAAAATTGTCCTTTCTAATGTCATCCTTAAGATCTTTCTCTCCCTTTCCTATTTGCTCTCCCGTGGAAACTGCATCTCCTGACATTTTCAGACTCCGTTTAATTCCCTCATTAAAAAATGCCCAGCATCCCTTGTAGCTCACATAACCCTTGTAGTCTACACTACAAGCCCATACAAGGCTATAACTCCAGCTACCGCTTCTGCAGTCATTACTGACATCTCGCTCAAATTTCCTTCTTCGCTGGTGGCCTGAACTCTTGGCTCATGGCCTCTCCCTCCTCCCCTCCTCCTGTTACCATGCACCATGACTTCCTTAAGCGTCTCTGGTGGGTGACCCAACCAAAGCTCCACAACCTCGGTTCCTCGCCGTCTTTACTTCTAATGATCTTTTCTCCCATTACACTGCAGCCAAGGCTTCTGTGATTCCACTGTGGACATAGCCATCGGGACATGTTGTCATTATAAAACTCCAAAACATGCCTCCTCTTGTTACCCCCACCTAGCTGTCCACACTCTTAGCTTCGTGCTTTCGCACTGCGGATATTTTGCACTCTAAATGTCTAATCCACTGACACCATTATATCCTCATTCTCAGTGACTCCCCTCCCTCTGTGGAAATCCTAGATTGCATGTTTTGTTATTATTGTGAATCGCTTGAAAACACGATCGAAAACTGCCTTGTCCTAAATGGTAGACCCATGTCACCACTGAGCAACTGAAATGAGGCCAGTATTACTGAAGGAATTAATTTTTAATTCTTTGACAAATAAAAGTTATATACATTGAAGATGTACAACGTGATGATAGGTGTACACATTGTAGATGACTATTGCAATCAAGTTAATGACCGCATCCGTCACAAAACACAGCTGCCCCTTCTTGTTGGTATGGCGAGAACACTTAGCATCTACTCTTTTAGGAAAGTTCAAGTATACAATACAATATAAATTAAATATAGTCATCCTACTATACATCAGATCCCTAGAACTCATTCCTCTTATAGCTAAAAGTGTGTTTTATTTGACAAATATCTCACGATTTTCCTCAACCCCAACCCTTGGTAAATTCTATTCTACTCTCCGATTCTATGATCTCAACTTTTTAAATTCCAACATACAACTGAGATCACATAGTATTTATCTTTCTCTGTCTCATTGATTTCACTTAGCATGATGTCCTCCAGGTTTACACATGTTATTGCAAATGGCATGATTTCCTTCCTTTTTTATGGCTGAGAAACATTTCTTTGTGTACCCGTGTGTGTGTGTGTGTGTGTGTGTGTGTGTGTG